TATGAATAATAATAATAATAATAATAATATTTGTAATGATAAGCAAAGGAAAAAAAACCCAAGAGGGTTAAGGGGAAGGAACACTCTTGGTGAGAAGAACAATCATCAATCCAAGTTTGGCCAGGGTATTGTAACGACAACAAATATTATATTTTATAATTTTCAGAACCTGAAGAGAAATTATTGAAAAGAATATTCTTCGTTCAGATTGGCTTAAGCGGAACCCGATTGGGAAACGACGAGTTGGTTGAGTGTGTGTCCCGAAGGTGACGTAGAGGATATCTTGTGAGCAAGAGAGGATAGCTTATAAGAGATTTTGGGGCCATCTAAAGAGGATTATAGAGAACCGGATGATATGGCGATATTCTCTTGAAGCTCTTTGTTGTACTCGGAACCCTCGGGAATATTAATTATAATATAAATATAATGACGGATGGCTTTGATATAATGGTAGCATGGATCGACTTATTATGAAAGGAAAATCTCAGTCGCAGCTGGATTTAGAAAGCCAATAATAACAATAACAACAGCGTTTTTCTGGACAGTGTTTATATATAATGTACAGAAATATCCGTGGAATTTATTGCGTAATATTTTCCCTTCGTCCAGGATCTTCAAGTAGAATATTAGTTGACAATAGAATGCTTGATACGATGTTGCCTGACCTTAAGTGAAAACTAATCACTTATGATATTTCTTCTTCATTGTCTCCTTTGAGATAGATGCAGGATATTTGATTGAAGGTCAATTAGAAAAAAGTGCAACAGTACGTATATGTTGAGAAACAGGAACATATCTGTGAATGTGTACCAACTAGTGTCATGCGTCAAGTGCTTTCTTCATTGCAGAAAAGACATAAGTTCTTTTAAGATTGTAGATACGCTCTGTTGACGACTACTAACAAGCACGACACCTAGGTCAAATAAGGCCTGTCGAATGCCTCCAGCCATCTACTAAGAGCACTAACATTCGAATCAACCGGCGGGCGCTGATTTAAATCCATCTGCACGTAACCACCCATTTTTCCATTCATATTATCTCATATTATTTCAACACATCATAGTTTTTTCATCGTCTCATTGATCTATTTTAATTTACAATACATATCAGTAACCTTGATGATAGTTAACGCTTTCTCTAAGTTGTACCTTATCATTCGCGCAGCACACTAGAATAAATGGTCCCTGATCCTAGGTCATGTATGTTCTTGTGTATGAATAGCTTGGCAATATGACTATACCACCTGCGTGTATGCCTATTGGATTACAAAGTTACATCATCCAACAATTTACTGAATTAGATGACTAGTAGCTAGATTCAAGTTCCTTATAACTGACTAGTTGCGAAATAGGAAGACAGGTTTGATCACTAGTTGATATCAGTTAGAGCCATTAGAAAAACTAGAAGTATAGGATAGCTGTCTTGTTCTAGTCTGGGATTCTTTAGTCGAACTCATTCACTGGGGTTCGAACCCAGGACCCTTCAGTTGCAAGGCGATCTCGTAGGTCATTCGACCTCTGAGACTTGATCCAATGACCGGTCCATGGATCCTAACTTCTGCCAATTCTCGATATGTATGACCTTACCGCCAGTCAGTGTCATAAGCAAGTAACTGATCTCTTACCTGGCACCTCTCCAGTTACGAACTGGAATTCATGAGACATTGGATAGGGTCCTGCTCTCTGTATGGTCTCCGGGTGTCGGACCGTGAAGGGTGGAGGTGTACTGCCGAATAGCTATTCAGTTCTCCCAGGTTTTCCAGTGATGTTCTAACTGATGTCAACCCTTGATCAAACATTTTACTAGTAAAATCCCTGTAAACCTACATTTGATAAATTAGGAAGACCACTGTTGTCCACCTACGGTGTTTCAACAGACAACTGTATGCGACTGATCACTTTCATATTACTCCCACACTCTCTGAAGACGGTCGACAGGCATACTTTTTTTCATAATTTTCCTTTACATTCCCAGTGGAACATGGAGCTTCACTCTTGAATTTTCAGTAGCAGTGATACTTTTTTACGGGATAGGTTTGCTAGCCTCATGCCCAACCTTCCCTCTTTACCAGTGTTATTACCGGCTTAACGAGGTAAAGGGAATGTATCTGTGGCCGGAGATCGAACCTCGAACCACATGAGGCGTGGTTGGTGAACATTCTACCACCGTACCACCGACACATGTGATCAGAAGATACAGTTGTTAATGTAGTCATTTTTTAATGACTGATAACTCAGGTTCAATTCGAGAAAACCTTTCCCGTGACTCGTTGAAAATTTACCGACGGGAGTTCAATAAAATAACCTTAGATCTAGGTTAAGACCGAATATTTCTAGTTTACAATTTACTAGGAAAAAACTGATCGATAATGACCCAGAGGCTGAAGTCTTGTCATATGCTGATCATCCTCTTGCTTATGAACAATGAGTCACATAATCTAAACCGATAGTTATGCACCAACTCTATAAAATGGGCATTTGATAGAAAAGGGATCTTTCAAATGTATCGAGCCTGCTTTCCCCTGTTACCATCCCCACAGATTCGCATGTTAAACGATGCAATTGGTTTATGAGCAAAAATTTCCACTCCAGACGACACATGCATTACATTACTGTCATCTCGTTCGTTGTATCATTAATGTTCAAATGTATAGGCCACTATTATTCCCTTATTTTTTCTTTTCTAAATTACAACTTTTAAAAGTCATATTCGTCATTTGTTCTTGTCTGTTGTGTGTGTTTGCGAAATATATTTTACGTTGTCTTTATACCTTTAGCTGTTTTCCCAGGGTATTGCTTTTGTTGGTTATATATTATGCTCTCAGACTTCACTGTCTTGGTTTGTATATTTGTATGTATGGATATGCGTGCACACCACATATGTTTCAACAATTATTCTTCCAGTGTATTTCACTAGTATGTGTGTGTATGCGTATGTGTTAATTTTAAGATTGTTCAGATTATATGCAGCTTTTTTCTTTTCTTTATTTTATGCCGCTTTATCTGATGAATTATTATTGACATTACGGTATTTTTCGTGTTTGGAAAGTTGAGAAATCGACACAATTGAGAAAGTTGAAAAAATAAAATCGACTACAACCAAAACAATCACATTAGTATGAAATGAAAATATTAGTAGTGCAGTAGTATTAATTACTTGGTGGATTGTAGCTAGCAGTTGATTCCAGGGCAACGCACATTTCGTCCTATTAGGGACTAGTCGTCAGATGGATGTACCTGCACTCACCAGTTATGATGATTTTCCCACCGAGGCTCGAACGCTAAAGCGTTATCCACTAGACCACTTGGGCTACGAGAGCCACCTCTTGTGCAGTGGGTCATATTAATTATTTGATTGAATTTTAGATTTTCCCGTCGATTGGTTGGACCGAAGTGCTTGATCTCAGGTTGACTTCTTATGAAGATACTTCGACGATGTCTAGGAATTTAATTAGAAGTTATAGATCATCACTGACTGCGGAATACAGGTACATCCAGAAGACGAGTACCAAGTAGGACGAAGTTCTCATCATGGATTCGACTGCTGGCCACCATCCACCAAGTAACTTCTAATAACATGCCTAGACGTCGTCAAAACATCTGCACAAGAAGTTGACATGTTAAGTTGAGTCCGGGCACTTCGGTCCAATCAATCGATGTAGTTGTAGTAGTGGTTTTGTTTGATTGTTATTGAATTGTATTCAACAAGTGTAACGACCCAAACCAACGTTTTGTGGTCTGATTGCATTCTACTGTACAGCTAACTGAGTAAACCTTCCTTGAGTTACACACAGTAATAAGTACTTTGCAATGGATGCTGATGGATTTCTATTCAAATTGATTGTATTGAAGTTTTCAATGTGTTTTAATATCCATTTTGGAACATGTTCTTTTCGATGACATCGCAACATTATACTTTTTTACCTATGTAGTTGTCACCGCAACTACAGGTGAACTTGTAGATAAGTTTTGAAGTAGAGTCCACAGAATTTCGTCCTTTAATTGTTAGTACAGGAATCGAAAATTTTTGAGAGTTAAGTGAAAGAGATATGGCGTAGAATGTGTGTTTGATGGCTGGCCAAAGTCTTTGAGCTGTCAACTGCATAATCTGGTCCCCCTTGAATGGTAGGTTTATAAAGATAGCTTTCTCTGGCTCAGAAGCTGCCTTTTCTAGATGTGGTCTTCTGGAGTCTTCATGATAATCATTGGCTAATAACACTGAATGTATATGTCGAATCTCATCCATCGATGCGTCACTCGTACATATTTTGCGGCCCTTGAAAACAAACATTGCACTAGAGAACGTTTATACTGGATAGGAACAAAACTGATGAAATGAAATGCGTCGGTGGCACAGTGGTTAGGACGCTCGCCGACCATGCACATGGTCCGGGGCTCGATCCCCTACCGACGCACACCTGATATCCATGGTCGGCCTGCGAAATTTGGGCCACCGATATCCACGCTGAAAATTCCATACTTGTATCAAAAATACAGTGTGGAATCAAGCTGTAATCAAAAATAAAAAATAAAAATAATAAAAATATAGTCCATTCCATGTCTGTTTACGAAAAACAGATCGCTGAATCGTTCCATCGTCTTTCCTAGTCATTGAAATATCCACGAAACCGAGTTTGTTATTCGATTCGAATTCAGAAGTCACTCAGATATTTGGATGAAAATATGATTATTAAATAGAGTTACAAAGTTTTCAATAGATTTACTATTATTACCAAATAATGAGTGAGTGTATCATCCACATAACGTTTGTATAGCATAAATTCTCCTAGCATACCTTGAATTTGTTTCTGCAGTTTTTATTTACCTTTCTATATTTTGAATAGGTGTAGAAATGCGAATTTTTGTGTACTGCAAATCCGACAGATACAGTAATCTCTTAGCTATTGATTTCCTTTTAATCTTTCACGATTTGAAGAAGTTAATCTTAAATGAAGCTGTTTATTATCTTTGTTCTTTTTATTATTATTTCTTCCCGTATAGGAATGCCTACGACATTTGAATCAGTTAGTTACAGAGCTATCGAAACATCACTCATCAGGAGGGGCGAATGGTTCTTCGTTAAAGAAAACTCCAAGCAATCTAGAGTCTAATAGTGAAAATACTAACAACAACAACAACAACAAAAATGGCTGTAATAACAGTGATGGTGTCGATTGTTTGGATTATCTCAATGAATCTGTCTATACACTGCGACGAGCGTTAGAACGTATGATTCAAGTAAGTGATATACGCGTATTTTGCTATCTGTAGAAATATATGTCCAATTTTTCATCTATGTTAGTATATACTACTGAATGTTATTAGTAGTTGGAATTCATTCACATCAGGTAGTTATGGTTTTCAACCGAGTCGAAGTGATGCAAATGGCAGACAGGCGTTTATCTCATTTAGGACCAAGTTCATCAGTAGTAGTGTGTCTGAATCAATTCAGTTTGGAAAGACGAATCAGTTCATTTCACCCAGATTCTGGTTGTATTATAAGTTACCTCAAGTTTACATACGAAACTTTTAGTAATAATAATATTAATTTGCTTTATTCCAAAACAGCACTTATGTTATACTGTGGAGTTCTCAGCAATCCGTACAATATTCCATCTGATGATTTACTCGACAGTAGCAAAAACAAAAATTGAAATAAAAATAATACAGGATTGATAATAAACAGCTCTCTTGGTATTAGTAATGACAATAATTTAAAACAATTAGTTCACTTGATGAATTTAGACAAAGCAATAAGGAAACTTAATTTGTCCAAACCATGTAATGTATTTGCGCAACACATTTCGAACAATCTGATCACAAACACGGACTTGTCATAGGAATATGCATATGAAATTAGTTGAGAGTTAAGAGGTGAGAAAATAGACTACTTTCAAGTTAAGGTGAAGTTAAAAGGACATATTGAAGGTCAAAATAACAATGAGGATCACTAAACCAAATGACAGACATAATAGTTCATCTACGCTGGCTGGTATCAAAACAAAATTTACCAAGGAAGGTTTAATGTGATGACGAATTGTTGCTTTGCCCATATAAAGGTGATATGAACTTTCTAATTGCTAGCTACGACTTCAACAAATTTTAGTATACGCCCCAAACACGTTCTACTGATAGATTTAAAAGATGTGTAAACATCAATTTTATGTCTTGTCTCTACAATATGTTTTGCGATAGAGGAACTGGGTCTCCTGTTTTCACCATTAATTGGTTCTGGGGGCTTCTATTTGCTTCTGAATCCATTTAGGAATATGCCCTTACTTGCAGAGATCAATGAGTCCTCCCTTCGCTTGTAAGTCTTCTAGTTTGTGTGACATTAGACATATATCATCTGTGAAGTTCAGATCTTCTAAGGTCTTCTAATCGGTGGTGCAGCGTATTCCTGTTCCTTGCTCCCAATTCACAGTCTGACGCATAAAATCCACTTCACCAAAATTAAGAAAATCATCTATGATAATAGACAGCTTTCTCTTACTTCTGTATGCACTTCGAACGCCTCGCTGAGTTTTCCGTTGTAGGTCACCTGACACTTGGCACTGTCATATGGCTGGCTTTTGAATGAAGTTGATAAAGACTTGAACACTGCACACTGTAGTGTTGAAGTAGTCTCCAAACTATGTCTCGGTCAACGCTATCTGTCGAAGGCCATTTCGAAGTCAATGAAGTTGAGCTATTGGCTTGACTGCCATTCTATGCCTTGTTCTGTGATGACGATGCATAGAATTACAATTTGATCAGCACATGATTTGCCTTTCTTGAATCCAGCATGTTCGTGTAGTGGGTTGGAGTTCTGTATCCAGTGCTTCCTTTATTCTCTGAAGGAAAATGTGACTTAGTATTTTACTTGTCATGGATGAGAGCATTTTCCCGCACTAGTTCTCGCAGAGTGAGGCGTAAGTCGTCCTTCTGTGGTAGCCTTTCTTCCAATCTGTAAGTGCACCTTGTCAGGATGCGTGAATTTTTATTTTTAACATTTGACTAATAATTTCACATTGCATTAGCGTTAGTTTTGAGTAAGTGTGTCATGTTTTTTAATAATATTATTATTATTGTTCCCTTGGGTTCCTAGTAGAACATAAGGCTTCAACTGCACGTCTCCACTTGCTTCTGTCTTCCTTCTGCTGTACTTTTCACCTGCATCCATGTTAGTCCATACTTTTTCAACTTCTCTCTCTTCACACGATCTCCTCCATGTCACCCTTGCACTGACGTCCCACTCGCCGCCGCTTCCCTTTCGGCCTGGTTCCACTCGAGAAATGGCCTGACGCGCGCGCGCGATGTCACCCAGCGGCCTTCTCAGCGGACGTGTCCAATCCACCTCCACTTTCTCCTGCATATTTGTTGGTTGGCGATTGATTCTTGTTTTGTTTGTTAATACCCATAGTGATTCTTGTTAGTGATTCTTTCTGGCCCGGCCATCTGATCTTCAGTATAGAGCCAGTGAAGAGAGTTGTTGGTTGATAAAGGTTTGCAACAGGCTGTTGTAAATATTCATTCTGACCCGCCAAGTTTCTGATCTGTATAGGTGAACTGACTTGACGTTTGAATTGAAAATCCGACCGAATTCTGTTGTTGATGGTGGCTGAGTGACGAAGATTTCCAGATTGGTTGTTTCAGGTTGATGAATGTGTTTCTCACCTTCCCGATGATTCTCGATTTGACATCCTCGTCCGTTCCGACTGTCTGTAGTTGAGACAATGCTCCCTAGATAAGTGAGTGAATGAAGTAACCCCTTTCAAATCCCTCCCGTTGACGGTGATTGACGCTGGATGTTTCTGGTGTTGTTGTTGGTTGGCTGGTTATTTTCATCACCTTCGTCTTGTCTATGTCCATCTGGAGTCCTGTCTTCGCCGGCTGCTTCTTCAACCAGTCTGTCGGTTTTCGTTTGCAAGTCTTCGATTTTGTGTGACATCAAACATTAATCATCCATACGCGAAATCGAGGTCTTCTAGGTTCTTCACGTCGGTCCAGGATATACCTGTCTTCTCGTTTCTGACTCACTGTCTGACGCATAATCCAGTCAGTCTACCACAATTAGGAATATCATCGTGGGTGATAATAAGCACCCTTGTCTGACTCCTGCGTTTACTGCAAACGCCTCGCTGAGTTTTCCGTTGTGGATGACTTGACATGTGCCTTTGTTGTACAGCTGTTGAATAAGGTTGATGAATATTTGGGGTACGCCGTAGTACTGGAGTAGTTTCCAAATTACTTCACGGTCAACGCTGTCGAAGGCCTTCTCAAAGTCTATAGAGTTGAGGTAGAGGTTTGATTTCCATTCCATGCTTTGTTCTGTGATGATGATGCGTTAAGTTGCAATTTGGTCAGAACATGATTTGCCTTTTGTAATACACTAACAGATTGAATATATATGGCCATATCAAAAAGCTTTCTTAGCTTCTAATTAGAGGGATTACTTTCCTCGATTGGGATTATTATTTCTACATTTAATAGTTCATTGTTATATCTTATATCTATGTAAATAAATTAGTTTCATTATTATTATTTTACAGGTTGCTGATCACATCAATGAACGTAAACGTTATCGTGAATTTTTAGATCAACTGCGTTCAACTCGATTGGATGTAGATAATTGGGGTGATATTGTACTGGGTGATTATTTTCGTATACCAGGTAAAAAAGATCTACGCTTAGTTCTACTGTTTCAATGCGCTCTAATTCTTTGTAAATATACACAACCTAGTGGTAATATACACTTGTCAAGTACTCAATCACTATCTGTAAATGATAACTGGATCAGTAATACAACAACATCGACGACAACAACAACAACAGCAGGCACCTTAACAGGACCACGTAATAGTTTAGATCGTGTAGGACCAGGAAATTCAAGTCTCTGGAATTTGAATGTTAGATCTATTGAAATACGTGAAGTAATCAGTGTGAGTTGATAAATTATTGTTCTATTGCTTCATTATTATCTCATCTAGTGGTCACTTATGTTTTCTCTTAGAACATAAGCATCTTCAAGAATAAGAATCATAACACCTAGTCTTTCTTCCAATGTCCCAGTAATAAATAGTTACTTGTTGGATGTGATCACTAGAAGTTTGAATATAGGGTGCATGTTTCGCGCTATTTGGAACTCTTCTTCTCAATGTGTCTTCATCTCTATGTGAGTGGTGATGGGTTCTGACTGGGACTCGAATCCAACACCTATCTTTTCAAAAGACCAGAGTGTTATCCACTGGATCACTCGAGCTACCTCATGTATATTGGGTATGCTTTGATATTATTTTGCATAAAATTATATACTACTGGTTAATTGGGACGAGTAGTTGCATACCACACACACTAACCACTTGTGTTTGTTAGCCAGATCAAAGTGTTTACGGCTCAGTTCGTCAGTTATGTACCCAGTTTGAGCCAGCTTGTTGGTAAACGCATTGAAAAGTGACTCTTCGCTGAATCACTTGTTTTGATTATATATATATTCTCATAGTAAAATTTAGAACAACACATTTAAGTGACCAATATTGTGCTTTCAAATAGATCTCTTCAGGCTCAACTATAATATACGTAACTTTATAAGTAAAAATTCAAATATAAACCAATCATGGTGTATTGTCTATAGGATAATAAGATGGTGAATATAAATTGTGCAATTAGTCGTAATAGTAGTAATGATAATAATAATAATAATGGTTTTATCAATAATAAGGATAACAAAGTGAGGCAATCTGTGATAACACGAATAGCGAAAAACAGCATGATTAAACAAACAAGTGTTCAGGTAGAAGTGGTAGTCGATAAAGGCTAGTAAAAACAAATGAACCGATTAAGTAATTAAAACAATTAGTCCCTTTGATAAATTTGAACAAGGCATTAAGAAGACAAATTTCGCGAGATGATATCGTCATTTCGTAGTTTCTTTACAACCGCTTTACAACTAACATGGTTAACAATGATAAAATAAAGTTCATGAAAATTACTCAGTTAAATGAAAACAAAAGTACATACTAATGACCAATCAAATTTAAGTAGGTCATGCAGTCCAGGGTAGGCGAAGACTGAAGTCTATTGATTTTTGTACACACAGTTTAGGCTGTATGTGATTAATCCAAAGTGCTTCCATCACCTTCAATAACCGAACTTGAATTAGAGTTATGTGAAATAATTGTGAAACAGTCATTAATATTGATTTTGTGACCAGACACTAATAAGTGTTTTGCAATGGATGATGCTGGATTTCTACTAAGATTAATCGCGTTAGGATTTTCGATATGATTTATTAGCCATTTTGGAACATGTTCTTTTCGACGACGACATTGGAACATTCTGTTAGTTCTACCTATATAGGTGTCACCGCAACTGCAGGTGAACTTGTAGATACAGTTTGAAGTAGAGTCCACAGAATTTCGTCCTTTAATCGTAGGTACAGGGATCGAAAATGTTCGGCAAGTGAGAAAAAGAGATGTGGCGGCGTAGAATGTGCGTTTGTGCGATTAAGTAATATTAGAACAAGACATATAAGCGAACAATATTGTTTTCAATTAGATCTTCTTCAGGCTTCACTCTAATTTACATAGACTTATATATATAAAATTTTAAAATTTTAACCAATGACGGTGATTTAGTGGATCAAATAATAATAGTAATCATAATAATACAAATAATAATAATAGTAATAATAATGTGGTGAATGTTTTGAACGAAGTTAATAACGATGATTATAATAATAACAAAATATTGTTAATAAGGCTTATATAGGTGATAGGAATAACAAAGTTAGTATATGCATATATGTAGACAATTCAATAAATAAATAAATTAGGTCAAATCAAATGGAACGATAATCAGAGTTTAAATAAATATCATAAAAGTACGGAGGAGATGCAGGATAAGAAAGGGTGGGAGGGTTTTGAATAGAATTCATCTAGGCCAAGGGAGAGACAAAGGTAGAACAAACTTCTTTTGTATACAAAGACTAGGATTGTTCTCTCGAATTCCCATAGCTTCGGCTAAGTGTAAAAGTCGGGTTCTGATTCCGTTCGAAAGGCTTGATGGAATGCGGTAAATCACTTTGAAAGCACTATTTTTGTCCACTTGGTGACCACTATCAATCAAATGTGCCAAAATAGAACTTCGTATGGACTTTATTTGACCTTTTCCGAACCATGAAGGAAGATGCTCATTAATGCGTTTGTTAAGCTGCCTAGTTGTTCGGCCTATATAGCTTTCTCCACAGGAGCAACTAAATTTATAAATACACATGGAAGTGGCACAACTCGGTAACTTATCTTTCACTTGAGCAATCAAAATTGGTCGGCTGGAAAATGACAAACAGAGGGTGGCGGCAGTATAAGTCCGTTTTATCGCTCTCGATAATCTCTGATGTAAGACTTCACTAGCCACGTCCCCATTAAATTGCAGTTTGATGAACAGTTGTTTCTTTTTAACTGTTATCGGTTTCTCTTTATTGTACTTCGCATTCATGTGTCTCCTGACAAATCTACTAGGATAACCCATTTGGACTAACGTATTTTGGATGTATCCTAGCTCATTCTCTAGAGAGTCATCTGTACAGATGCGTCTTGCTCTATTCGTCAGGCATCTGACCAAATTGATTTTGTAACGGATTGCTCAAGTGAAAGATAAGTTACCGAGTTGTGCCACTTCCATGTGTATTTATAAATTTAGTTGCTCCTGTGGAGAAAGCTATATAGGCCGAACAACTAGGCAGCTTAACAAACGCATTAATGAGCATCTTCCTTCATGGTTCGGAAAAGGTCAAATAAAGTCCATACGAAGTTCTATTTTGGCACATTTGATTGATAGTGGTCACCAAGTGGACAAAAATAGTGCTTTCAAAGTGATTTACCGCATTCCATCAAGCCTTTCGAACGGAATCAGAACCCGACTTTTACACTTAGCCGAAGCTATGGGAATTCGAGAGAACAATCCTAGAGTCTTTGTATACAAAAGAAGTTTGTTCTACCTTTGTCTCTCCCTTGCTTAGCCTAGATGAATTCTATTCAAAACCCTCCCACCCTTTCTTATCCTGCATCTCCTCCGTACTTTTATGATATTTATTTAAACTCTGATTATCGTTCCATTTGATTTGACCTAATTTATTTATTTATTGAATTGTCTACATATATGCATATACTAACTTTGTTATTCCTATCACCTATATAAGCCTTATTAACAATATTTTGTTATTATTATAATCATCGTTATTAACTTCGTTCAAAACATTCACCACATTATTATTACTATTATTATTATTTGTATTATTATGATTACTATTATTATTTGATCCACTAAATCACCGTCATTGGTTAAAATTTTAAAATTTTATATATATAAGTCTATGTAAATTAGAGTGAAGCCTGAAGAAGATCTAATTGAAAACAATATTGTTCGCTTATATGTCTTGTTCTAATATTATAAATGGGAATATTTAACGATTAAGTAATGTTAGAATATAAGGGAAGGAAATGAAACACGTTTTTAATAATGATGTGATAAGATTAAGGGATGATAAGAAGGGGTTGAAAATATAAACAAGGGGTGGTGGAGAAGTCATCAGTTGGTTATGTCTTAATAGGTCGGCGAGGGAGGGATAATGGCTGTATGAACTTCTTTTGAGTGCATAGTTTAGGTTTATTAGTCCGAATGTCTATCCCCTCAACTGTGTGCAGTAGACGAATACGAAGTCTATTTGAAAGATTCGGTGGGATACGATAAATTACTCTGAAACCCTCGTTTTCTCCACTACATGACCACTATCAATTAAATGTGAGAAAATTGAGCTACGGGTTGTTTTCGTCTGTCCTTTGCCAAACCACGATGGGAGATGTTCAAATTATATATATTAGAGTTAAGCCTGATGAGATATAATTGAAAACAATATTATTCACTTAAATGTGTTGTTCTAAATATATATATTTATATATTTCCCAGTGGAAATTTTCGTCGAATTAAGAAGCAGTCAATGTTTCGCTGTAGAAATTTATTTAGCTGTTATTTAATTAATAAACGAGTATACTTTGGTTTATGACACTGGCACACTTTTGTTGATCTAGTAAAACAACGTTCTCATTAATTAGTTGGAACTGATTTGCTGGGAACAGATTTTCCATGTGTCAGGCTGTGAGCGATACTCATTTTTTTGGCGACTGATAGTAATACTCATTTGTCCAGGTTGAATTAAGCGAGATGGGACTCAAAACCCTCTACTTATTGGTTGAAAAGAGAGTGCTTACCCCAGTGACCTACATCTCTACTAGTAACTCAGCGTCACATGGGTGTGTGTGTGTCGAATGAGAATAGTTGAACTGGTGAGTATGTTAGTGTACTTTAAGGAGTTGGCATAATCTGAATGTGTCTTTGGTCATCAGCAACCATGGGAACGTGGTTCTTGACGCTGCTTCCTTGCCCTGTGGATTGGACATGTAGTCAATAGCTTGAAAAAGAGGTGACTCCTTAAGAGATCTATGTATTTAGGTCCGGCCGTCCCCGATAGTATCCTAGTCCTTGCACAAACTATATGATTGTGTGGCGCATTTCTTGATGCCAACAGCAACAGCAACAACAGAAAACAGATAACAATCAGAATAAATGGAAGTAACCTGAAAGAAACAACCTCCTTCACCTACCTGGGAAGCATCGTTTCAACTACAGGCCAGTGGAACTGACGAGGATATCAAAGCAAGAATCGGAAAAGCAAGACAAACTTCCATTACTCTCAAGTCTGTGTGTAGGTCAACAGCACTCACCATCAAAAATAACATCCAGATTTTCAACTCCTATGTGAAGTCAGTCAGTGCTACTCACTATACGGATCAGAGACTTGGCCAGCGCGTCATAAAGAGCATCTCAAACAAACTATAGACCTTGATTAACAGTTGTCTTCGCTCAATACTTTGCTCAAGATCAGCTGGCCGGTCAGAAAACATCAGCCACAGGGAGGGATCTCTGGCAATGAGCGAACCAACACATCAGGAACCGATTGTGAAACAAATAGGCAGGAAGAAATGGAGATGGATTGGCTGGTCATACTCTGAAGAAATCATCAAGTGACATCACTAGACAAGCCATTGTTCGAGTGGAACCTGAAAGGCAAGCGGCGAGTTGGTCGTCAGTGTGAGGCTGACTTGGATGAGGTCATGTGAAGAGGAGATGAAAACATGTGGGCCGACTTAGAGCGGGGTGAAAAAGTTGGCAGAAAACCGAACGCAATGGGGACGCGCGGCTGAATCCTCATGTTCCTCTAGGAATTAAAGGATATAATAATAATAAATAATAATAAATTTCTTGATGCCTATAACATCCTAAGTTTTAACAAATACTAATACTAATACTAATAATAATAAAGATATTTTTAGCCGACTACGGCAATCAGTAAATACTGATCAAGTTGTCTAGCTTAGTTGTGAAGCGTGTCGACCACTGAATATCTATCAATACTCGAATAGGTGTCTTATTTGAAATCTAAGTTGAAATCCAAGTCATAAATTTTTCGGAATTTCTATGAAGGAACATTTAATTTAGTTAGTTACGCACATTTTCCCTCCATGTTGCTTTTTTTTCAACTTTTAAATATTATCTGAGCTGTAGTCATATTCGTCCATTGTTACAATAGACTTATATATAAAAACAAACATTTAAATCGCCTTTCAGTCATAAATTTTGTTTTATTTGTATTCTCTCTGAAAGTAATTAAATTACCGACTGGGAAGTTTTATTCCATCGCCTGATTTGCCCTCTTTATCCAGGGCATTTTATAGAATGCGCGCAGTATACATCTATCCCTATGTAGACCGATTTGAGAGATGGCTAAATTATTATTATGATTATTTTCTTTATTTTTTTTGCTTTCCTATATTCTTCTGCACGATGAGAGAAAAATTTTGGTTTCATTGTTGCATTTCCAGTAGTTTTTCTTTTAATATCCTGCTTGATTGATAATGACTAATCTCAGAGTTTTAATCAGCTTTTTTTATGCTCCCAATGCGTGTTGCAAAACTAAGCGCGATGACTAACCCAGTTTTGATGCCGTTGTGAAAATAAATAATTTATGAGAAAAAGAGTCGACTTTTAATCAAACTGTCTATGGTAGAAGCTGGGTATTTTTTTTTAACCTGGTCGTGTACTATAATAGATTGATGTTTTAAAGGTCGGTTGGAAATACTGTCTTTTGCTGTAGGTCTCGAACTGGAAACTTTGAGTTCGATGAGGAGTTTTGTAGGTGACTAGAGAGGTGTCACTTTACGTGACTTCTTTCTAGGTGACATTTGTGCGCTGGTGGCACAGCACGTCAGCCACGTATGTGGTCCCGGGTTCGATCCCCGGCTGACTGAGTCTTTCACCTCGCTAAATCAGTAATAAGATGAGTAAAGAGGGAAGGCATGAGGCTAGCAACTGTAACCCGTGAAAGTAAATACCACTGCTACCGGAACTTCTAGCCTCTTAGCTTGAAGCCTCCCTGTATTCTACTAGGAACGTAAAGGAATTGAAATAAAAAAGAAACTAGGTGGCATAGCGTAGAAGGTCATTGGTCTAGTGAAAGTCGAATGGGAAACGACAAGCTGCACGTCCAACAGTGACATGAACGTGTTGAAAGCTTATAGGCAACCGTGTGACCAAACTGAAGAGGGCTGTAGAGAGCAGGGTAGAATGGACATGTTCAAATGAAGCTCTATGTTTTTTTCGGAACCCGAGGGTATAACAATAATAATTTAGGTGACTGAATACTAATTTGGGTGTAATTATAACGGACAGTTTAGCATTGAATTACACGAGTTTGCTGATTTTGTTTTTCATAAATCAAATTCATAGTTTGCAAATCTCTTTACAATTTACACACTTCGAGGAGGTGAAATTTCACCAACACATTTTTCTTTTGGAAACCAAGATTATCCAGACCATAGTGTATGCTATCTGCTTGATACTGCCAGAAATGGTAATCCAGAAACCAAGCATATTCAGATAAAACTATATACTACTGATTGGCTGAGATGAGTAGTTGAACACCATTCACGTCAGCAAATAGTGTTTACTAACCAGATCGAAGTCATAAAAAGAATACCAGAGAGCCACTCGATTTATGGAATTACTAGTTCACCCAATTATCTAACCAAAAAATCGGGTGGTTTAAATTGATTCGGTTCTCTGAACTGAGCCCCGAACGAGCGAAACAGCCGTATGGTGTTCGGATTACTTCGATCTGTCTAGCAAATACGAGTGGTCCACATCAGAGGTAAACAACTATTCATCTCAGTCAATCAGTAGTGTGTAATTTTTGTTTTTCATAATATTTATCCTCTCTGTGTGGTTCTTTTAAGTGTGGTAACTGTTGTTAGTGGACTTGTATTGTTACAACCGAGATTTGTAACTCAAGTGGATTTTCTGTAGTTTGGTTTGTAAGGGTTAGTTATGTTTTTACGAGTTGACCACGGATTGATATCAGTTAGAAAACCATTGAAAACCAGGGAGTACTGGACAGCTGCTGTTTCATCCTAGTTTGGGAATCATCGTCAGTACGCACCCACTGGGATTCGAACCCAGGACCTTCCGGTTACAGGGCCAGCAAGCTCGTATATCATTCAGCCACTCGGACTCGATTCAATAGCCAGCCCTTGAATTCCAACTTCTACCAATTCGTGATTTAGGTCTACCCCAAACATTGTCGTTGTTGGGACATCCATCCACACACGTGACATCTAGTTGGACCTCACTGGTCACGACTTCTCACTAGAACTGACTCCAGGAAACTCCATCATGTAGCAAATCACTAGCGAGTCGCGCTTAATCGTGAATCGGTAGAAGTTAGAATTCATGAGCCATTGATTCGAGTCCCAGTGGCTGAATGGTCTACGAGCTTGCCTTGTAACCGGACGGTCCTGGGTTCGAACCCTGGTGGTGGGTGCGTACTGATGATGATTCCCAAGCACTAGGATGAAACAGCTGTCTAGTACTCCCTGGTTTTCAATGGTTCTCTAACTGATATCAATCTGTGGACAACTCGTAAAAACTCAAGTGGATGTTTTTAGTGTTTTTGTGTTCTTTGAAATGAATAGTTCCACAACGAAGCTTTTATTGTCCTTGTGGGCAATTCGAAGGAGGGGTGGGGGGAAGCGGGGGGAGGGAAGATATTTTTCTCTCGCTGTGAACTTTATCATTTCCTTGTGATTATATCCACTTGGGTTGTTTATATTTATTTATTTAAACGCATAAAAGCTTGGTACAATATGGCACCAAGAAGGATGCGCCACACAATAATAATAAAACAACACAGATCAAAAGAAGAAAAAGAAAGAAGAGAAAAAATTTATAAGTAGAGAACGGTTAAAGAACTTCATCTGGAAGGAAAACAGTCATGTTTAACAAGTTCAAACAGTATTCGTTAACTGTCATCGGGAAGGGAAGAAAGAAGGAAATTGCAACACGCGTAATAGCATGCGATAAGTTTTATTGGTTGTTTGTTGCTTTATTCAATTCATTGTGTGAGGGCTGAGATACTGCCCGGGTGCCCAGACCGAAGCAGGTGGTTTTATTCAGGGACCACCCCCCGAGGGTTGTTTATATGCGTATCAGTTGATCAATTCTGTTGTTGTTCTTAATAATCACACACTCCCCTTCTTTTTTTGCATTTCTTTTCTTTCCTTACAGTGTGCTAATTTAATGTTAGTTGAATGCATTGATAAAGATCCATTAGCCTTCCACATACTACCATTCGACAATCCTAAAGCTCAGCGTACTTTACAAGCAATCAGTCTGGAGACGAAACGTTTATGGTGTCGTGAAATAAAACGCTTAATCTTAGAAAATTATGATGCTGCTATACCAGAAAGAGCTAAACAAATAGTTTTAAATATGGCTGAATTAACTTATGGTCCACCTATTAAAGATATTTCTGATCTACCAATGAGTTTAACTAGTTTACAAAAAGTTGGAACATTTTATGCTGGTCAACAACGAAATGGTTTAATGAATGAAGAACGGTCAGCAAGTGGTCGAGTTCATCGTAAAAGTGATACAGCTCTTCCGCGTAAGAGATATGTCCTTTTTCTCTCTTTTAAATGGAGTGTCTTTTGACGTTTTTAAAAAAAAAATACAAACTGTTGAAGGGTAGAGATGGTTATAACAAGCTGATTGATTAAATGCATTAATTTCTCCTGAACCCATAAATTTAGCTTCTTCAGGTGGATTCCAGAGGTTTCAACTGTATGTAGAAGAAGAACTCATAATGTGAAATTATGATTAGTAGGAATGCGATGAATAACTTTAAATGCTTTTATTAATATCAATTCTGTGCTCACCATTTACATGGCGTGCTAAAAAAGAGCCACGAACGGAACTTGTTTGTCACTTTCTTAACCATACTAGGTGATGTTTGGAGATACTGTGATGAACGTGGTTAATTGTACACCTAATGTAACCTAGTTGTTCAGGGACAGTCGAACTGGTAAATAAACATAGAGGAAGAGGCTGAATTCAGTAGTTTATCCTTGTTTCTTGGGAGTAAAATGGGAGTGGTTGTGAATAGACAGAATAATTCAAATGAACTGTCGTCAAGATTTGACAGAATAGTTCTATAATATTTGGGCGCCGAGTGAGAAGTAGACATTTGTAAAAAATTATATTTGTAAAATCTCAGCGATATTGAAATGAGTAATTCCAACGTTTCCCACGTTCGGCAATCTGGCCCGAACTTCTTCAGGGAAATTAATCGAAATCAACATAACACAGGTCTATTTATAAAAGGAACATCCCTTGTTTTTAAAAAACTTTGTCCAATCATGAGTCATAAAACAAGTATTAACAAGTATAATAAACAAAATTGTATGAGCTGTGATCGAAATTTGACCTCAGACTTACAAATATTGATCTACCTTTTGTCAAACACTTTAAACACAGTGTGTGTGTATGTGTGTGTGTGCGCGCGAATAAACAGTTGTAAAACAATGTCCTAACGCCTCCATAAGTAGATGTAGACAGTCGGGAACTTTGACCAAGTATTATTAGTTAGTGATACATATCCATTCTTATTTATTAATTAATCAGGATTTCCTATGCGTCATCTAACATCACACCTTCATGTCTGTTCAAACTGTTAGTATCTAGAATTTTATGATTAGACGTATTTTCAAAATTATGGTGTTTAGGATTAGAGTTTAGTTGAAGCACCCTGTCAAACTTATTACTTTGTCTTCTTTCTGAAAATTGAGCTGCTTTATTCGACCTACTGGAGTTGTCAGGTGACTGGACAGCCACGGATTTAGGATACGCATTCTGTTGCAGACAACGGAGAGTGAAAACACGATGATTGTGCCAATTACATAGTTTCTTTGTTAATTTAATTCGATAGGAAAATAATTCGAATGAACTGTCGTCAAGATTTGACAGAATAGTTCTAAAATATTTGGGCGCCGAGTGAGAGGTAGACATTTGTAAAATAACTCTGCTGTATTGAATGCTGTTTTAACTGCATTCTTCAGGTGTTGTGTTACTGTCTCGCTGATGTTATATTGCCAATAAACTGCAGTTTTATGAGCAAGGGCTTTTCTGCAGTTGTTGTCCTACTGACTCACCTTTGTGTTAAATTCATATTATTTATCAATGAACTTATCTTGGTAACCATTTTATTAAGTAATTCTGTGGTAATCTTGAGTACCTTATTGAGGGAGTCTAGCTCGATGAGCCAAACACATTTTTTTAAGAGAATGGTTTCTTTCGACTGGTTTTAGGTGAAACAGAGTATCTTATAAGGCGTTTCTCAGTAAATTAACGGTTTCATGTCTTATCTCGTGGACGGACGTCTTCCACAACAATGGATATTCACGGAGCTTCATCAAAAGACATCTACCCTCAGGCCGACCTACCAAATGAAAGGCCTCCAAGGAAAACACAAAGAAAATTGGCCTATCACATAGAAAAGACATCACAGAAATCACTGCAAGACGTTTCAAACCTTTAGGAATTGACATCACACACAAACCAATAAAATCACTTCACTCGGTTGGCTGGCTCTATGTCAACCAAAAGACTCAACAACGAACGAAGATAAAACCAACATCATCTACAAAATAAACTGTCACAACTGCGAAAAACACTACATTGGCCAAAATGGACGTCCCGTTCGTCTTCGTATCCATGAACATAAGCTAGCCGTCAAAAGACATGACATCCACTCCCTCGCTCATATCCCTACACACAGACAACCATGGACATCAATTCGACTAGGACTACGTTCAAATATTAGACAGAGGAAACACCAAGAATGCTAGAAGATTTTTACAAGGCAGCCTGGTATTCCAGTGAATCGACAATCTATAGACACATTGACGCAGACAAAATTTATCAACCGATAAGAAGGAAACCTCACACACAAAGGGTCAAAGTTCAAGTCAAAGAAACAATCAGTTCCAATACAAGTAGCTGCCTAGAAGGTGTGAAAACACACAAAAACAGCCAATCACGTCCAAGGTCACTGATCAGGAGAGATGATTAATAATCTCGAGAAATCTAAAAGCTCACTTCATGAAATTGAAGTATGCACTGAAGATGTCGCCTAGTAGGGCAATGAAAGCTTCGCAAATAAACCATTTAGCTCAGAGAACATAAGTGCATCAAAATAATCCACACAAGCTACAAATCTTTTCCATCATATCTATTAGTCTTCGGTCATTGGATCTTATCGTCGGAAGGACGCAAACCAGGCAGTCTTCACTTGCTTACATGGCTTAAACTAGCAATCAAATACCTCATAGATTGCTACTGGGTTTCTATTTGACCACTTTTAATTTGTTTTCAGCCTAATCCTATGTTAGCTAACATTCGTCGACTAGGAAGGTGATAGCTTTTTGGTATCTTATGTACGAAAGAAACTAAGGATAGAAAAATAAATGTTCCAATCTAAACCGAATGTGATATGTTCGCAAGTATATCCACATTTGGCCGTGATCTATATATAGTACACGATAACTGAGTTACCAGTATGTAAATTGTAGCCTACTGAGTGATTTAGTAGACAAATTTCAATAGTCTCTTTACTCTATACAACAATATTAACTGTCATGATTAAATTTCGTTATTATTATTATTAATTCTGTCCTACAACTGTTATCGTATTAATTATGTGTAGGTCTCCGACGTCTTGTCAATCGATCAATCAGTAGTACTAATGCTCCACTTGCTTCCAATTTCATTCGCACACCGTATCCATCATTAGATGAAGATACAGCGGAAGCGAGAACACCTCCTGTGACAAATGGATGTATGTTGAATGGTAACAGTAAGCATAACAGCAGAGATTCTTTATCGTTTGATAATAGTAGTAACCATGGTAATAATTCTACTGAGAGACATCTTGATTCTTTACTGCATGAAGCATGGGAAGAAATTTGGGCTAAACATCATTCTCCTGTTAAACCAAATGGGAATATATCCACAAATGGTGCTGGTGGTGGTGTTGTTGTTTCTCCTGCTGTTAATGGTCAATTAAATCCCCTAAGAAATACTCATCATCATAATAGTAAAGGAGGAGGAGGAGGAGGAGCAGGAGGGGAGACGGCAGAAGATGATCATGATGGTACATTGACAATGAATACTGTCAATGAGGCAGATTTTCGATGTATAGCTGTGGAGATTAATGAAGAACGATTTGGCCTTTCGTCATCATCATCACCAAAGTCGATAACTTCAAATTGTACAGTCAGTGAAACACGAAAGTGTTCAGTATCTTCGCTATCAAAATTAAGCAATACTCCTACAAATCATTTTATAAATCATTCAGGTATGTACTTTACTTTGTTTTTTTTAATATTTTGTATTGAAGTTTTCGTTGTTGTTTCTAAGAAAATATTCCGTCTTACCTTCTACATCAAGAAGTTAAGACATTCTGGAATAACCCAACCCAACCCTTACTCCTACAATTCGTTAACTCTCGCATTCTGCCTATTATTCTCTATTGTTCCCCCTTAGTTTTTCCAGGGCTGGCTACTGAAGAAATACTATACATTATTATGTAGGATGTTAAAGGTTGTCAACAGGGTAAGCAATGTGCCACTTAGCCAGTTCATTAATATTCTGTTTGACAGGCACTTGGACTCATGTGAAAAATGGGTCAAATCCATTTTATCTAACTCACAACACCCTCTTCATTCACAATTCTCCCCTCGTATCTCTTCAGGAAAAACCAGAAGCCTACCTATATAGAAAATTATATGCTCGCACTAGAAAGTACAAAAACTCAACCATACCCTACTTAGCTCGTTCGTGTTCTGTGCGATAAAGAAAGCATTAGGCGTGAAACCTTTAACTTATTAAATAGTCAGTAGAACAAATGGATCTCGTCTTTCCAACTCATATCATTTATAGGTACAACGTTTTCTTGTTTTTTCTTTTTTCTCTCTCTCTTTTTTCTGTTATGTGCTGCTTTGTTTCTTTCTTCCTTACTCACTCTATTAAAAAATTCTTCGTTCTCTCACACTGTATATCTCGACCTTTTTTGTTACCGCTTACGCCAGTATCTACTTTCCTAACACCTCCAACCGCCCGACCGAAAGCTGCTACCTTGACGTGGTGGTCGGGCTTGAACACCGCAATGACCTAATCAAGCTATACTGGCTGAGACTTATGTCTCTTGAGGTTCTACCATGCCAGGCAGGTTGTTTGGATAGCGGTTAAACAAAAAGCAGCTACCCAATCCAACATCATGTCCAATACAAAATTACAAAATTTCATGCCGGATCGGCCGTGGCCCGGATTAACAACGACCGCGCTTCCTGCTGCCGTGTCACAGGGCGGGAGTGATAAATCTGCTACTGAGACACACCAAACAAAAAAGAACGAACAAAAACAGGCCGCGTGTGACCGGCCTCAAGCAGTTGTCCCCTGGGCTCTGCGGTCACGCAACCAACTTCCACGGTGTGGGCAGCCGGGAAGTAACAATCGCCCTCACAATCCGAAATGCACACGAAACCTCTCTATTACTCACTCATCTTTGTCTTCATCTTCATCTCTATCATCTTGCCTTCCTTCCACTGATGCAACTCCTCGACTTGATAGCTCTCCACTTCCTCTCCACTCTGCGTCCACTAAAAACGATGGAAGCCAAAAAACCACCACCGACAGCCTCTTAAAGCCGCGCCACCAATTTCATATAGGAGCTCTTAATGTTAGGACACTTTGCCAAATAGGACAACAAGCATCACTAGCCAAGACCCTGGCATCACGAGCCATTGATGTATGCTGTGTTTCAGAAACACGCATACAAGACCCAAGTGTGGTTATTCACCTAACCCCACCTGGCCAACAGGTTGAATCTGCAAAATTCACCTTGAGGGTGTCAGGAGATGCCACAGCTAGTTCACGAGGATTAGCTGGCGTAGGGATAGCTTTGAGTACTAGGGCAGAAAAGACATTGCTTGACTGGATCCCGGTAGATAGCCGAATGTGTGCTGTCCGCCTGAACGGATCAGTAAGAAGGAGGAAGGACTGCACTACTCGCCGATGCCTTTTCGTAATCTCCGCCTACGCCCCCACTGACTGCAGTTCAGATGAAACGAAGGATGAGTTCTACCAAAAGCTGTCTAGTTTGGTGGAAAGGCTAAACGCTCAGACATAGTCGTTCTAGCTGGTGACTTTAACGCTCAAGTAGGGAAATTGTGTCAATCTGAGAAGGATGTCGGTGGCACCTATGGAGTTCCGTGCCAGCGAACCGACAACGGTGACCGTCTCCTACAGTTCTGCTCTGATAATCATTTGTTTCTTGTAAGCACTAACTTCAAACACAAGGAGAGACACTGTTTGACTTGGAGACCCCCTTCATCAAACCAACGCTGGACACAAATAGACCACATAGCAATAAGCTATCGTTGGCGTGGGTCGGTAGGAGATTGTCGCTCCTTCTGGAACACGTGCGTAGATACCGACCATGCACTGGTCCGCGCTCGGGTGTGCTTACGACTGAACGGACGTAGGAAACAGCTGGCGGTAAAACCATCACGTCCCCAGCTCGATCAGGAAACTAAATCCGTATTTGAGGAAGAACTAGCTAAACACATATCTGTGTTCGACAGCTGTGCTCACCCTGAAGAAGCTTGGAAAAATATCCAGGCAGCCATAGATACAGCTGTAAAAGCTGTGAATAAGGTAAACCCAAAGGTGAGTAAAAACCACTGGATCTCCACCGCCTCATCCGAACTGATAGATGCTAGAAGACTTATTCCGGCGAGCTCCGAATTCAATGAGGAGCGAAAGCTGCACAAGAGGAAACTTACGAAAAGTCTCCGCAAGGACCGTGAACAGTGGTGGGCGACAAAAGCCAAAGAGATGGAGAAAGCTTCGAGGATAGGCAACACCAGGCAACTCTTTGGACTCATCAGGGAAACGGGTGGGAGAAGACAAATCATTAGTGAGACAATCTCGGAAAAAAATGGCACTATAATTAGCTCACAGGATAGACGACTGGATCGTTGGAAAGAGCATTATGAGGAGCAGTTTAATTTGCCCACAGCCACGCTCAACCTTCCGAGCATCCAACACCTCCCTGAATGGGATATAGACACAGGTCCTCCGTCACTAACTGAGGTTACTAAAGCTGTCACCAATCTGAAACTAGGCAAAGCAGCGGGACCTGATGGAATGACTCCAGAGGTATTTAAGTACGGTGGAGACAGCTTACTGTCCGGATTAACTGAGGTACTAGGCAGCGTCTGGGAATCAGAAGAAGTCCCATCGGGTTGGTGTAAGTCACTGATTATCCCCATATACAAGAAGGGAGACAAGTCTTCCTGTGATAATCACAGAGGGATTAGCTTGACTAATATAGTATCTAAAGTCTTAGGCTCAATAATCATGCGTAGACTGAGTGGTGCTCGGGAAGCACAAACACGAGAGAGCCAGGCAGGCTTTAGACCAGGAAGAGGGTGTATTGATCATATCTTCACCCTCCGACAGATTCTAGAACATAGGCATTCCTACCGGCGTCCAACAGTCATTATATTTCTTGACCTAAAGGCAGCATTCGACTCTGTCGATCGGGAAGTTCTCTGGAGATGCTTGGCTGTAAAGGGAATTCCAAGAAAATATATTGCACTGATTAAGGCACTCTACTCGTACTCATACAGCCAGGTGAGGGCTTACGGCGAGCTGTCATCTGAACTGATGACGACCAGTGGTGTCCGTCAAGGATGCCCATTATCTCCTTTTCTATTCAACTTCATCATAGATGTGTTAATGGACTTAACCCTAGGTGACTTCAGCGACTCAGGGATTGACTTGCTACCGGGAATAATCTCGTTGACTTGGAATATGCAGACGATATAGTCCTTCTAGGCGAAGACGCTGACGAAATGCAGAGTCTTCTAAACACCTTGAGCCGCAATCTACGAATGTTTGGCATGCGATTCGCTCCCGCCAAATGCAAGATGATGTTACAGGACTGGACTACATCGACGCCTAGTTTAAAAATAGGAAGTGAAGTGGTAGAGCACGTTGACCGCTTCACTTATTTGGGAAGTACCATCAGCCCCAACGGGCTGATCTCTGACGAAATCTCAGCACGAATACAAGGGGCTCGTTTCGCATTTGTTAGTTTACGCCGACTCTGGCGTAGACGAGATGTTCGACTATCGACCAAAGGGCGGGTGTACTGCTCATCAGTCCGCTCCGTCCTCCTTTATGGTTGTGAGACCTGGCCACTGAGAGTGGAAGACATGAAAAGACTAGCTGTCTTTGATCATAGGTGCCTGCGTTCTATTTCCCGTGTAAAGTGGCATAATAAGGTGAGCAACATGGAGGTTAGGCGTAGAGTTCTAGGTAAACAGGGGAAATCAATCGACGAAGTCGTGAAGCTACAAAGACTGAGATGGTTAGGACATGTGTTACGTATGCCAAGCCATCGCCTCCCTCGACGAGCAATGTTAGCGGATATAGGGTCAGGCTGGAAAAAAGCTAGCGGCGGTCAAACAAAAACTTGGCATCAGTCAATGAAATCCACAACAGTTGGTCTAAGCCACGTAGGAAGGTGTAGACTTCCAGGCTGGGGTCCTCGGGACGGTAAAAATCTATGGTTGGAAACAATTGGTGACATGGCTCAAAATCGTTCTCAGTGGCGCAGATGCATCCACTTCCTGTGACTTATGATACCCAATGAAACTGTTTTGTTCTTCTTTATTACTCCTTTGTCTCACACCTCTGCTCACTGTTTCTATTATGCTTTTCTTGTACTTTCTTCTCTTGCTTCGCGTGCTACACGGAATGTGGCGACTTGAACTTCCGCACATTTGTGCAAAGTTCTATGTCGAAAACAGACAGACAACACCTCCAAACACTGTTCAATTTTGGCTTTGCTACCGATATGCCAATATATTGTTGTCATAATGAACTGAGATTACCTTAAACTATGTTGAATTTTATTTATTGTTAATGTGCTAACTGGATGCAATACTGTAGTAAAATGCTGAGAATTCCATTGCGTATCACAAGTACTGTTTTGGAATAAAGCAAATTATTATTATTATTATTATTGTTCCCATCCTTTATTGATTTTTGACATCCTGAGGACCCTAACCAGCGTGGCAGTCTACATCTGCCTACATGGCTGGCTGACTTTAACTAACTGTTGTGGATTTCATTAACTGATAAAACCATGTTGGTTTTGGTTTGATCATCATTAGCTTTTTTCCAACCTGATCTCTCCTGTCAGCTAACATTGCCCATTGAGGAAGGCGATGACTAGACATGCATGCGTAACAACACATGACCTCACCATCTCAATCGGTGTAACTT